CAATCAGGGACACTCAGGACACGGACAGGGACAGGGGGACAGTCAGGGACAGTCAGGGACAGTCAGGGATGGGGACAGGGACACTCAGGAACACTCTGGGACAATCAGGGATGGCACAAGGACAGTCTGGGATGGGACAGGGACAATCAGGGATGGCACAGGGATGGGGACACGGACAGTCGGGGACAGTCGGGGACAGTCAGGGACAATCAGGGACACTCAGGACAAGGACAGGGACAGGGACAATCAGGACAGGGACAGGGACACTCAGAGATGGGGACAGGGACACTCTGGGATGGGACACTCAGGGACAGGACAGAGACACTCAGGGACAGGGACAGCAATGAGGCACCCCGGGAAAAAACCCCAGGGGAGAGAGACAGAAAAATAACAAAAAAAATCCAAAAAAAACCCCAGGAAGAGAGACAGAATAAACCCAAAAAGCCCAGAAAAACCCAGGGGAAAGAGAGAGAAAAATCCCTAAAAAGTCCCAAAAAACTCAGGGAGAAAGACAGAAAAATCCCAAATAAAACCAAATAAATCCCGGAAACAGAGACAGAATAAACCCAAAAAAATAAACGGGGGAGAGAACCAGAATAAACCCAAATAAACCAAATAAAACCCCGAGGGAGAGAGCCAAAATAATCCCAAAAAAAAACCCCAGATGAGAGAACTAAAATAATCCTAAATAAACCCAAAAAAACCCCATGGAATAAACCCGGAATTATCTCAAATAAACACAAAAATCCCCCCACTCAAAATAAATCTGGAATAATCCCGAGTGATCAACCCCAAAAAAACCCCACGTGAAATAAAACCGGAATAAACCCCCCCAAAACAACACACGAGGAACAAAATCCAGAACAATCCCAACCCGAAATAAACCCCCAATGATCGACCCCAAAATAAACCCACACAGAACAAAATCCAGAACAATCCCAACCCGAAATAAACCCCCAATGATCGACCCCAAAATAAACCCACACAGAACAAAATCCAGAACAATCCCAACCCGAAATAAACCCCCAATGATCGACCCCAAAATAAACCCACACAGAACAAAATCCAGAACAATCCCAACCCGAAATAAACCCCCAATGATCGACCCCAAAATAAACCCACACAGAACAAAATCCAGAACAATCCCGACACCAAATAAACCCCGAAAAAACCCTACACGAAATAAAAACCCAAAAAACCCCAAACCCCCCCAGGCTGTCCCAGTGCCCAAAATCCCCGAGACCCCCCCAGTCCCCCCCAATCCCCTCCCAGTCCCTCCCAGTCCCCTCCCAGTCCCCCCCAGTCCCTCCCAATCCCCTCCCAGTTCCCTCCCAGTGCCCCCCAGTTCCCCCAGTACCGATGGGCAGCATGGGCTGGTTCTCACAGTACACCCGCGGGCAGTACCCGAAATCTCCCTGCTGGTATTTCTCCAGCTGTGGGGGCACAGGGGGGTCAGGAGGGGTTTTGGGGGGTCCCGGGGGGGGAGTTTGGGGAGTCCCGGGGGCTGTTTTTGGTGTCTCAGGGGTATTTTTTGGGTCCCAGGGCTGTTCCCGGGGGTCCCGGGGCTGTTCTGGGGGTCTCGGAGCTGTTTTTGGGGGTCCCAGGGATATTTTTGGGGTCCCGGGGGGGGTCCCAGGGCTGTTTCTGGGGGTCCCAGGGCTGTTTTTGGTGTCCCAGGGCTGTTTTTGGGGTCCCGGGGGGGGCTGTTTTTGGTGTCCCAGGGCTGTACTTGGGTGTCCCGGGGCTGTTTTTGGGGGTCTCGGGGCTGTTTTTGGGGGTGCCCACCATCTGGGCGATGCCGCGGTTGGTGAGGATGTACCGCGCGTGGATCAGCCCGTAGAGCATCTCGGCCGCCTGCTCGATCAGGTCGCTCTGGTTGGGGTTGTCCTCCAGCTCCTCGTCTGCGGAGGGCGAGGGTCGGGGGGGGCTCAGCTGGGTGCCGGGGACCCCCCTGGAGCCCCCCCAAACCCCCCCTGGGCCGTACCTGGCTCCAGGTCCAGGATCATGTCCAGGGCCTGGCGGTAATGGGGCACCTGCTCGTTGAGCCCCGTCAGGTTGAATTTGTCCTGGATGTAATCCTCGTCCACCTGCGGGACACGGGGAGGGGGGCGGGTGTGAGGGTCCGCGGGTTTTGGGGGTGTCCCGGGGGTGTCCCGGGGGTGTCCCGGGGGTCCCGTGCCCACCTCGCAGAAGAACTCGTTGCCGCGGAGGCCGCAGAACCACGAGATCCACGACACCTCCTCGGAGCTGCTCATGGTCCCGGGGTTCTGCGGAGAGGAACGGGGGCGATGAACCCGCCCGGAGCCCCCAGACCCTGCAGAGCTCCCCGAGACCCCCCTGGACCCTGCAGAGCTCCCCAAAACCGCCCCGAGACCCCCCCCGGAGCCCCCAGAGCCCCGCAGCGTTTGAAGCCCCCGCGCGCCCCCGCGGCCGCTCCGAGCGCAGCGCCCGGGCCGGATGGACCCCGAGTCCCGCTGGGGGAGCCCCAAATTCCCCCGGAGCCCCCCGGACCTGCCGGGTCCCCCCGGGCCCCTCCGAGCCCCCCGGGCCCTCACCCGCCGCTCTAGGGGCGCTCCGGGCACGATCGGCGCACGCGCAGCCGCCGCTTCCGCCCCAAACCCCGCCCACTCGTCGGGAACAACCAATGGGCTCCGACCCTCGGGTACTTCCGCTCTAACTCCCGCCCCCGCTTCAGGAGCGACCAATCAGAGCCGGGCTCCGTCGTCGCTTCCGCCCGAACTTCGGTCCCGCGCCTGTACCGACCAATCAGTGCTCGTCTCCGCGTCACGTGGCTCCTCCGCTCGGGTCACAACTTCCGGTGTCGGCGTCCGGGTCCGGCCAGGACCTCCCGGGACCCCCAAGCCCTCCCCGGGACCCGTGAATTCCTCCCGGTGCCCCCCCCGGTGATTCCCCCGAGCCCGCCATGTCCCTGATCGCGTTCCGCCGGGGCCGGGACCAGGCCGGCCGCTGGAAGGACGGGCGGCTGCAGGAGGAGCCGCCCCCGCCGCCCCCCGAGCCCTCCCCGGGCGGCCCCGACCCCGGGGCGGACGCGCGGAGCTTCTACGAGAGCCTGATCGCCGAGGGGGGCGGCGCGGAGCCCGCCCGGAGCCCCGGCAACGGAGAGGCGGAGGAGCGGCACAGGTGGGTGCGACCCCCGCCAATCCCCTCCCTAATTAATTAATAAATTAATCAGTACGCTAATGAGAGTCTCCCCTCCGCAGCCCCCCGGCTCCCTCCCACTTCTGCCGCAGCTGCGGGACCTCGTTCCGGGACCCCCCCGCGCGGCACCGCCGCTCCACCGCGCACCTGCTGGGGCTGGGGGCTCGGCCCGCGACCCCCGAGCCGCTGCACATCCCCCCGTCCAACCCGGGCTACCGCCTGCTGCTGCGGGCCGGCTGGCGCGGCGGCGGCCTGGGCCGGGACGGCCGCGGGCGGCGGCTGCCGGTGGCCACCGAGCTCCGGCGGGACCGGGCCGGGCTGGGCTGGGGGCCGGGACCGCCGGCCCGGGTCACGCACTTCGGCCCGGGGGACGCGACGGCCGTGGCGGGGTCCGGGAGAGGCAAAGGGGGGAGCGGGAAGGAGTCTCGGTCCCGGTCCCGCTCCGAGGCGGCGGCGCGGGCCTGGGAGATCCAATTGAGGGAGTACATGGAGCGCTGGGACCCCCCCGAGCCCCCGCCCCGAGCGAGCCGGGACGGCCCCAAAACCCCCTGAGCCCCCCGAACCCCCCCAAACCCCAGAGCCCCATGGAGGAATTCGGGGAGGAACGCTGCCTTTCCGGCCCCACGGTGAGTCTGGAATGGGGGAGGGTCCCCCACCGGGACTGGAGACCCCCGAATTTGGGGGGGAGTGCCTTTCAAAGCTGATTCGGTCCTCCGTGCCGCCAGGGGGCGACAAAACGGCCTGGAGCAACTTCCGCCTTCAATCATCTGCACTTCCGGCCTCCTTGAGGCGACTTCCGGCCGCCCTGAGGCCACTTCCGCCGCGGGAAGCCGCCGCGACCGCGGTGAGACCCCCGGGACCCCCCCCAGACCCTCCCGGGACCCCCGAGCGGCTCGTTCAGGGGGAAAGGAGGAGTTTTGGGGCTTCCCCCCCACCCACTCAGGGGCTCCCCCCGAACTGGGGAGGGGTCCCAGCCCTGTCCCTCCCCTCAGATGTGGCAGAACCGGAGCCGCTCGGGGCGTGGGACCCCAAAGAAGGCTGAGAGAACCCCGAAAACGGCCGAAGATCCCCCCCAGGACCCCCCCATCTCAGCCCTGAAGGAATTCTCGAAATGGGTCTGGGGCCTCTCAAGAAACCTTAAACTGTGTCGGGCGGGCTCTGAAGAGGACAAAAGACCCCCCCCAAAAAAACTGGGACTTGGGGGCTCTGAAGGGATCCCGCGAACTGGGACTCGAGGGGCAATAAAAAGGGGGGGCTCTGGACCCTCCCCAGGCTGAGATCTGTGGGGACAGGACCCCCCCCATGTCCCGGTGTGGGGACAATAAAGGGGGGCCACCAGCGCCTCCCCCAGCCGAGGTTTTCCTGGCAGGAAGCGGCGGATTTGGGGCCCGGGGGCACTTTCGTGTCTCTCCTCGCCCCGCTCAGATTTTCCGGGTGCCCCCCGCTGGTTTCGGGTTCCCCCTCGGGGTTTTTGGGCCCCCACGGAAGCTGGTTCCGCTTTTGGGGGCACCCCCGACCACATCCTGTCTCCGTCCCCGCCCGTACTGGCTTTTCCCATTGAGAAAACCACGGGGGAGGAGAGCAATTAAGAAAATATTTCATTAATTAGGGGTCGGCGCGTTAATTAGCGGAAGGGGAATCACAGACAGGGGTTGGCGGTGGGATTTTGGGGAGGGGGGAAGGGAGGGGGGGCAGCCCCGAGCCCCCCAAATGCGGTGTCCCCCCTCCCGCAGGGGGCGGTTGGGGCAGCCCCGGGGTTTTCCTACCGGGACCGGTGCCGGTGACGCCTCCTGCGGGGGCCGGGGGGGCCCATAAAGGCTCCGGGGGGGCCGGGCCGGCTCAGAACCGCCATGGCCGAGCCCCCCCCGCGGCCCCCCCGGG